GGCCTCAGAAATCATGAATCCAGAGGATTTCTGGAGTTTTACTTGGATTTCTTTATAATTATTGTACGAAAACGACAGGTGGAGTATGCCATTTGGTACAATATCCAATATAATTCGACCCAGCTGTCAATATAAAAACCAACGTCGGCACCACAGGCATTTAGAAAAATCTTCTTTACCGACGTCGATCAAGTTCCCGACGTGTTCACTCCACCTTAAGTCCAGCTAATCTTCGGCCCGTAAAGTTCCCACCGTTTCCGGCATCGGGCCCCACGGGCCCCGGAACTCTGAATTTGGTTATCCTCGGGCCCCATCGCATTAACGCGGCGATCAAGAGACTTGCGTAACGCGAACGCGCATTAATCTCAGTTCATCATGCCGAGGAGTTCTAAGATTCGAACCCGTTAGGCCCAGAAGTGAAGTCCATCATGAGGCCCCGAAAGGTCAAGCCGTTGGGCCCCGAAGGTAATTCTATCCATACCCCGCGGGTCGATGAAAAAATAGGTAACTAACGAGAAGGCAAAACCGGCGATTCCGTAGGTATAATTATGCCGACGTTTCCGGGCCTTACGTAAGGCCCAAACCACTCGAATCTCTCTGGACGGCGGCTTTCGGACGGTCCCTCATCTTCGGCTGGTAAAATTTCCACCGTTTCCGGTTTTAGGTATGACGTCACGTGAGTCCCGGCCGCGAAGGCCGCGGGCGAAAGGCCCCGACGCGTCGGGCCCCGACGCGTGCTGCAGCATTGGCAGTGAAAACACTTATGGAAACGTGCTTTACCTTTTATGACCGCATTGGCGCGCCTTATTCGATCCTAACGCGCTAGGAGGTTAAGGGAAGAAGAAACGGTGGACCTCGTGGCCTAGGTCAGTGCCAAGACCCAGAGCGAGAGTTTCCTCTCGGTCTCCTCGTTGGGACTCTCTTCCCGTCAGGCCCCGTTTTTCTTTTATGGGGACCGTATAGAGAAGCGTCCTAAGGAATTCTCGGCTCTGCTTGGGCCTTTTCAAAGACCGTTTACGTCACCCAGGTCAGGGACAAAGGGACAGAAATTAGACGCCGAATTCATCGAACCGGATACCTCGTTACCTCCGATATCCTAACCTCTAACAATTACTCTTCGAGCTGACGTCAGACGTCTATATTAATTTTTCCGAAGCAACTTATCTTATTCGATATCCTAACCTCTAACAATTGCTCTTCGAGCTGACATCAGGCAATTATATTAATTTATCCAAGGCAACTTATCCTATCCGATATCCTAACCTCTAAAGATTGCTCTTCAAGTTGACGTCAAACGTCTATATTAATTTTTCTGAGGCAACTTATCCTATGCGATATCCTAACCTCTAAAAATTGCTCTTTGAGCTGAAATCAGACGGCTATATTAATATTTCCTACCCTAACCTTTAAAAATTGCTCTTAGAGCTGACGTCAGATGTCTATATTAATTTTTCCGAGATAACTTATCCTATCCTATATCCTAACCTCTAAAAATTACTCTTCGAGCCAGACGTCTATATTAATTTTTCCGAGGCAACTTATCCTATCCGATATTCTAACCTCTAAAGATTGCTCTTCGAGCTGACATCAGACGTCTATATTAATTCCCACACGGAACAAAAGCTCTATTATACGTATATAGAATGTTTTCATGGCTACGGGATGTTTCAGTATATCAGAAGTTAAAAATATACGTATAATACATGTTCACGGAATGTCAAAAATATTCTATTGGATTTTAGATGTACATTATACGTATTAAATATGTTACCAGAACATCAAAATTTGCACCAATTAAATACGATATAATACGATATATAATAATAAGATATCAAATTTATAATTTTCATTGTTAAGACATAAAATTTATAATATTTACTGTTAAGACATCAAATTCATAATTTGATTAGAAGCTTACGTACCAAAGGTGCATGAATTTTATGTATTTTTTAAACAACGCCCTTTATTTAATGTGAATGACGATGAATGATGTGAATGATGTGAATTTAAAGTGAACGATTTAAACATCCCCTTAACGAAAAGGAAGACGGCAAGAAGAAACCGGAAGCGAAGCAGGTAAAGGTCTCGGGCCCAGGAGGAACAGGAAGCCGAAAACGTCCGATAATCGGGAGTCGGAGAAAAAGAAGGCGGTAAGGCCCAGGGCCTTAGGGGCCCCGTGGCGAGGGGGGCGGCCGAATGATAAATTTGCGTTCACACGTGTTTTTGTGCCGGGCCTCTAATCGGCGATCTTACGTCACGGATGCAAAGTCACAACCGGTTCCCAATGGGACCGGACCCACTGGCCGGTGTTTACATAGCGAGTCGTGGGCCCGATCGTGTGGGTGGGCCTTGCATGAACACTCCACGAGACGTGGGCCCACGCATCGATCTATCGACTCAAAAAAATCGGCGAAAATGACTGCCTCGATTGTCTCTTCTAGGATTCTTCGACATTAGGACGTTACAAGTGATAACGTTGAGGTGATATGAAAGTGTGATATATACCCTAGTAGCATAGAATAATTTCTAAATATTTCTTTGTAATATTTGCTAAATATCTCAACCGACAGATTTTTTAACATTTCATGTAGATTTAATTCGAAGATATTTAAAATATTTCTTGCAAATCTCAATGACATATTTTGGCATCACACTTGGCATGACAATAATGTCATCTCAATAGCATGTTTTAATAATTTAGAAACATATATCTAAATTAAATTTTTCAATTCATAAACATATAATAGAAATACATTTTTTACGTTATGATTATTATCGGACACTTCATTTGGTTTCAAAAAAAATACGAGAAATTTTTCTAATATTTTCGTCCCGCTATTTCATTATGGGAGGAAAATGTATGATTTTGATTCTAAATATTTTTAAAACGTTTATAATGTATTCGGTAGATAATATTTAAAAAATACAATACTTGCATTAAAACGAAACGAAACGTTTTGTACATCTGTTAGAAAAGTATTATGAAAACACATGGAGCAAATATTATAGGGTTAATATTTTCAAGTAAACATTTTGCAAATATTTACAAAATGTACGATATTCGTTAAATATATAGAAAATATAATAGAAATATATTATGCTACTAGGGAAAGTCGGCGCTTGTAACGAAAGCCACGGAGCCATTTCAACATATGGGCGAAATTCCTCTGACCGTGCATGCAATATTGGACCAAACGTGTGAATTGTTTCTCTATGAGAATACAAAACGGGTCGATTTTAAGGGCTAGTTGTCTATATCCGCGAGAATAGAAGAACCTAGAGAGATTCGTTGAGCTCTCTGAACGACTTAATATATCGCTATAATAGTTAACCCTTTCAACACGGAGGCATTTCAACATATGGGCGAAATTCCTCTGACCGTGCAGGCAATATTGAACCAAACGTGGGGCGCCTTTAGGCGCTCTTAGTAGCCAAAGGGTTAAGGACTATCGTCTTACCTTTCTGCAGCTGGCTGTGATCCGCGTTCATCTTTGCCTGCAACAGAAAGTGCTGCGCTAAGATTGTAGCCTGCGAGTTTATAATAAAGAAAAAGTGAAAAGTAGTTTCGACTAGATCTTGAGTTTCGCTCACCTCGTAGCCCTGCTTCGCCCCTCTGCTCCCACCCCAATAGTCGCTGTCCTTGTCGTGGGGGTTGCATTGCTGGAACGAGACAGTAAATTCGGTTATTTCATTTTGTATAATGTTAATAAAATTATTTAATTTTGTACAATGTTTTTATGTACAACATTTCTGTATAATGTTAATAAAATTATTTAATTTTGCACAATGTTTTTATATACAATATTTTGTATAATGTCTTCTCCCCTCCCAAGGGGTGCGTCTCGCTAAAAAGGATATATCATAAAAATTGCAGTAAAAAAAATTCATAATTTGCGACGAGTGACTAAGCCAGGCTGTACAAATATTTCTGCAAGTCTTTATTACGCTATAGGGGGTTGCGCAAATTTCGGAGGGTGATAAGGGAATCGCGAAGCGTTTTGCTATCCAAGTAACACAGACACCCCTAAGCTTTCCAATGAAAGCAGCAATTCCTTTTCAACCCCTGCCTCGCGGGGGGCAAAAAACTGGGCTGCCCCAATTCGCACCCCCCGACCCCCGCCTTTTGCACTTACCCCATTTACGTTTGCTTAGTAAAATCGATGGGGTCGTGTCACCCCCATGAAAGGGTTGCGTCTTCCCGCGACAAGGGACCTTCCACGAGGGCTGCGTCGAAAGGGACCTCAAGGGTCGTCGGAGCAATCGGCGAAGGGGTTGAACAATGAAATCCTCAAAATATCCGAAGTCACCGGATGGATCTTAACACCCTAATATGAAAACCAAACTCTCGCTCCTCGAAACCATAAAAGGTTAATCGGGTGCACCGATAATTCAGACCTTTTAAGGTGATACGAAGGTGTCATACATGCATACCAAAAAGTCAAAATATTTATAAAACTTTGCTTCAAATTGAATGCATCGAATCATTTGAAACTGCACCACGAGATTATGGAGGATCTAAGGGAGAACGCGATGCTCGTGAAATTTCAATGTTCACGCAAAAAAAAAAGTGTGTATGTATCCCGAATAATAACCAAAATAGACTTCTTTTCTTCAAAAAGTGAAATTTCATGATCCTTTCATATCTCCTTAAGATTATGGTGGATCTAAGGGAGAACGCCATGATCGTGAAAATTCAATTTTTGTAAAAAAAAAAAAAGTGTATGTATCTTGAACAAGAACCAGAAAAGACTTTTTTTTTTCCTTCAAAAAATGAAATTTCATGAACATCACGTTCTTCCTTCGGGCCCCCATTATCACATGTTAATGTTTCAAATAATTCGCTGCACCCAACTTGGAGAAAAGTTTTATAAATATTTTGACGTTTGGTATATATATACATAGTATATAATATAATACTATATATATCATGAAATCTATCTGCGTTATGTATTCGGGTGCCGTTTGCAATTTTAACTCATAAGACATAAAATTTATAATTTTCACTGTTGAGACATCACATTTATAATTTTCACTGTTAAGACATAAAATTTATAATATTTACTGTTAAGACATCAAATTCATAATTTGATTAGAAGCTTACGTACCAAAGGTGCATGAATTTTATGTATTTTTTAAACAACGCCCTTTATTTAATGTGAATGACGATGAATGATGTGAATGATGTGAATTTAAAGTGAACGATTTAAACATCCCCTTAACGAAAAGGAAGACGGCAAGAAGAAACCGGAAGCGAAGCAGGTAAAGGTCTCGGGCCCAGGAGGAACAGGAAGCCGAAAACGTCCGATAATCGGGAGTCGGAGAAAAAGAAGGCGGTAAGGCCCAGGGCCTTAGGGGCCCCGTGGCGAGGGGGGCGGCCGAATGATAAATTTGCGTTCACACGTGTTTTTGTGCCGGGCCTCTAATCGGCGATCTTACGTCACGGATGCAAAGTCACAACCGGTTCCCAATGGGACCGGACCCACTGGCCGGTGTTTACATAGCGAGTCGTGGGCCCGATCGTGTGGGTGGGCCTTGCATGAACACTCCACGAGACGTGGGCCCACGCATCGATCTATCGACTCAAAAAAATCGGCGAAAATGACTGCCTCGATTGTCTCTTCTAGGATTCTTCGACATTAGGACGTTACAAGTGATAACGTTGAGGTGATATGAAAGTGTGATATATACCCTAGTAGCATAGAATAATTTCTAAATATTTCTTTGTAATATTTGCTAAATATCTCAACCGACAGATTTTTTAACATTTCATGTAGATTTAATTCGAAGATATTTAAAATATTTCTTGCAAATCTCAATGACATATTTTGGCATCACACTTGGCATGACAATAATGTCATCTCAATAGCATGTTTTAATAATTTAGAAACATATATCTAAATTAAATTTTTCAATTCATAAACATATAATAGAAATACATTTTTTACGTTATGATTATTATCGGACACTTCATTTGGTTTCAAAAAAAATACGAGAAATTTTTCTAATATTTTCGTCCCGCTATTTCATTATGGGAGGAAAATGTATGATTTTGATTCTAAATATTTTTAAAACGTTTATAATGTATTCGGTAGATAATATTTAAAAAATACAATACTTGCATTAAAACGAAACGACCCGTTTTGTACATCTGTTAGAAAAGTATTATGAAAACACATGGAGCAAATATTATAGGGTTAATATTTTCAAGTAAACATTTTGCAAATATTTACAAAATGTACGATATTCGTTAAATATATAGAAAATATAATAGAAATATATTATGCTACTAGGGAAAGTCGGCGCTTGTAACGAAAGCCACGGAGCCATTTCAACATATGGGCGAAATTCCTCTGACCGTGCATGCAATATTGGACCAAACGTGTGAATTGTTTCTCTATGAGAATACAAAACGGGTCGATTTTAAGGGCTAGTTGTCTATATCCGCGAGAATAGAAGAACCTAGAGAGATTCGTTGAGCTCTCTGAACGACTTAATATATCGCTATAATAGTTAACCCTTTCAACACGGAGGCATTTCAACATATGGGCGAAATTCCTCTGACCGTGCAGGCAATATTGAACCAAACGTGGGGCGCCTTTAGGCGCTCTTAGTAGCCAAAGGGTTAAGGACTATCGTCTTACCTTTCTGCAGCTGGCTGTGATCCGCGTTCATCTTTGCCTGCAACAGAAAGTGCTGCGCTAAGATTGTAGCCTGCGAGTTTATAATAAAGAAAAAGTGAAAAGTAGTTTCGACTAGATCTTGAGTTTCGCTCACCTCGTAGCCCTGCTTCGCCCCTCTGCTCCCACCCCAATAGTCGCTGTCCTTGTCGTGGGGGTTGCATTGCTGGAACGAGACAGTAAATTCGGTTATTTCATTTTGTATAATGTTAATAAAATTATTTAATTTTGTACAATGTTTTTATGTACAACATTTCTGTATAATGTTAATAAAATTATTTAATTTTGCACAATGTTTTTATATACAATATTTTGTATAATGTCTTCTCCCCTCCCAAGGGGTGCGTCTCGCTAAAAAGGATATATCATAAAAATTGCAGTAAAAAAAATTCATAATTTGCGACGAGTGACTAAGCCAGGCTGTACAAATATTTCTGCAAGTCTTTATTACGCTATAGGGGGTTGCGCAAATTTCGGAGGGTGATAAGGGAATCGCGAAGCGTTTTGCTATCCAAGTAACACAGACACCCCTAAGCTTTCCAATGAAAGCAGCAATTCCTTTTCAACCCCTGCCTCGCGGGGGGCAAAAAACTGGGCTGCCCCAATTCGCACCCCCCGACCCCCGCCTTTTGCACTTACCCCATTTACGTTTGCTTAGTAAAATCGATGGGGTCGTGTCACCCCCATGAAAGGGTTGCGTCTTCCCGCGACAAGGGACCTTCCACGAGGGCTGCGTCGAAAGGGACCTCAAGGGTCGTCGGAGCAATCGGCGAAGGGGTTGAACAATGAAATCCTCAAAATATCCGAAGTCACCGGATGGATCTTAACACCCTAATATGAAAACCAAACTCTCGCTCCTCGAAACCATAAAAGGTTAATCGGGTGCACCGATAATTCAGACCTTTTAAGGTGATACGAAGGTGTCATACATGCATACCAAAAAGTCAAAATATTTATAAAACTTTGCTTCAAATTGAATGCATCGAATCATTTGAAACTGCACCACGAGATTATGGAGGATCTAAGGGAGAACGCGATGCTCGTGAAATTTCAATGTTCACGCAAAAAAAAAAGTGTGTATGTATCCCGAATAATAACCAAAATAGACTTCTTTTCTTCAAAAAGTGAAATTTCATGATCCTTTCATATCTCCTTAAGATTATGGTGGATCTAAGGGAGAACGCCATGATCGTGAAAATTCAATTTTTGTAAAAAAAAAAAAAGTGTATGTATCTTGAACAAGAACCAGAAAAGACTTTTTTTTTTCCTTCAAAAAATGAAATTTCATGAACATCACGTTCTTCCTTCGGGCCCCCATTATCACATGTTAATGTTTCAAATAATTCGCTGCACCCAACTTGGAGAAAAGTTTTATAAATATTTTGACGTTTGGTATATATATACATAGTATATAATATAATACTATATATATCATGAAATCTATCTGCGTTAAGTATTCGGGTGCCGTTTGCGCATCCTATTAAATGCATTTAACCCCTTCATGACACCTTAACAACGGTACCTTATTCCTCTATTATCTCTTATCAGAGTTGATACCGCCGAAAACATCCTAATTCGAGATTAGTTAATCACAGTTAACTAGCAGTACTCTGATCACGGTTGGTCGAACCGGCCCTAAAACAAGTAATGAGAGTTACGAAGTAGGGCGATGCCCCGTTCAACCCCCGACTCCCCCTCGGGGGTAAACCCCCCTCGCCGGAGTTCTCCACCCCGAACCGCACACTTTTCTCCCGAAAATCTCGTCTAGAAGACAGGTGAGCAGCACCACCCCCGCAGTGGCATTGCACCCCGTGGAGGAAAGTGTGGGGGTGGGGGTGGGGGGAGGGGCTCGTCAGAGTCGCGATGAAAGAGAACCCGGGGAATAATTGGCACCGGTGGGGGTGGGGGACCCGAGACTTCTCAGGAGGGGTGGGTTGGGGGGTCTAGACGCAACACAGACCCCTCTTATGCCGAGGGGGAGGCGGGGGGTGGCGGCCCTGCGACCTTGAGCATCACTCGCGTTTCTATGGAGATAAACAAGCGAGGCCGCACGGGGGCGACACCCACCCATTTGCCACCCACTTACCACCCACTTACCACCCACTGTCCCCGACAACTTCGACAACCCCCGACAAGCCTCGCGAGTCGCGCTCGCAGCTCCCCCTTTAATCGGCGCTCGTCGCGACTCAAATGAAATCACCCCCCCCCACCCCCTCCCCCCAGGGGCTCCATTAAGGTGATATGAAAGTGCGATATATACGTAATAAAGAGTCAGAATATTTATGAAACCTTTAATCGACGCTCATCGCGAGTCAAATGAAATCACCCCCCCAAGAGGGGCTCCATTAAGGTGATATGAAAGTGCGATATATACGTAATAAAGAGTCAGAATATTTATGAAACCTTTAATCGGCGCTCATCGCGAGTCAAATGAAATCACCCCCCCAAGAGGGGCTCCATTAATGTGNGGAAAATCAGCTCCAGAAATTGTCTAAACCTTCACCGGTCAAACGCAAGCAACAACTAATGATGCAATACTCTGCTTCGTCTAGGTTGGACACGTTTCCATGCGTTTGGCATTGTTTTCCAACAAGAAGACGCGGGAGAATAACGGGATTTAATTTAGACTTTCCTGGGTAGGTACTCACTTCTTTCGCGTCAATTCTGTAGCACTGGACCGAGGAAAATCAGCTCCAGAAATTGTCTAAACCTTCACCGGTCAGACGCAAGCAACAACTAATGATGCAATACTCTGCTTCGTCTAGGTTGGACACGTTTCCATGCGTTTGGCATTGTTATCCAACAAGAAGACGCGGTAGAATAACGCGATTGAATTTAGACTTTCCTAGATAGGTACTTACTTCTTTCGCGTCAATTCGATAACACTAGACCGATGCAAGTCCGCTCTGGAAATTGCCTGAACCTTCATCAGCCAAATGCCCGCGACAATTAATGATGCAATACTCTGCTTCGTCTAGGTTGGACACGTTTCGATGGGTTTGGCATTGTTTTCCAACAAGAAACGCGGGAGAATCACGCGATTGAATTTAGACTTTCCTACGTAGGTACTCATTTCGTACGCGTCAATTCTGTAGTACTAGACCGTGGAAAGTCAGATCAGGAGATTGCCCGAACCTTCACCGGTCAAACACAAGCAACAACTAATGATGCAATACTCTGCTTCGTCTAGGTTGAACACGTTTCGACGCGTTTGGCATTGTTTTCCAACAAGAAGACGCGGGAGAATCACGCGATTGAATTTAGACTTTCCTAGGTAGGTACTCACTTCTTTCGCGTCAATTCTGTAGCACTAGACCGATGCAAGTCAGCTCCTGAGATTGCCCGAACCTTCACCGGCGAAACACCCGCGATAACTAATGATGCGCCACTACGCGACGTCTACGCTGGACACGTTCCGACGCGTTTGGCATTGTTCTTAAACGAGAAGACGCATGGGGATCACGTGGAACGATTTAGATGATTTGATTGGCTAAGTTTACATATGTAGCGGTATTTTCATTTTACGTATTCGCGCAATCGCCTGTGGTCGATCTGTGACGCCTCTATCGGGTTGTGTGTGTAAACACTTGCGTGCGACCATTTCGGCAAGACCGTAGTCAGCGCTCGCTCTCCATACATATATACATACATATATACATACATATAATGTGTAAATATGTATATATACAAATATATATGTAATTATATAATACGTAATTCTGATAAGTTACGATGATGAATGTCGATCGCGTATGAACGTATATATTACACATTATATATATATTTACACATTATTCTATGTGAAACTCAAGTTATGAAGTGTGTAAAAATGTATGTAAATTTCCATCGATTTTGTTCTACATGGTAAGTCTTACATGCCGCAACAAGAATTACAATGTAATGTTACATTAAATTCAAGTAAAAATGCAGTAATGCCGTAAATACACAATGTCACGGGTATTTATACATCTTCTGATTTGTAATTATTCCATTTTACGTTCTTTTTATGCAAAACTTCAGTTATATAGGGGGTAAAAATGTATGTAAATTTCCATCGATTTTTTCTACATGGTAAGTCTTAGACGCCACAACAATAATTACAATGTAATGTTACATTAAATTCAAGTAAAAATGCAGTAATTACACAATGTCCCGGGCATTTATACATTGCCTGATTCATAATTTCTCTCTTTTACGTTTCCCTATGTAAAGCATCAGTTATGTAGAGTGCAAAAACGTATGTAAATTTCCGTGGATTTTGTTAAGCGATAGAAACGTGTCCGAGATGTCGCAATTTGGGGTAACCAAAATCAGAGTCCGGCCCCCCGGAACGAGGGTGAAAATCCGGCGGATATAAATACCGAATCCCGAAATAATCGAAGGAGGGTTCCCGGGGGTCGTTCCGCAAGATGGACGTCGGGGTCCACCTCCGAGGTCCTGGGAAGGGAAACGAGGTCATCCTCTAATTCGGAGCAGAGCGTCCCCTGGAATCTGGGGAACGGAGTGGTCGAAAGTGGGCGAAGGACCCCTCAGGACCCCTCAGGACCCCTCAGGACCCCGCAGGACCCCGCAGGACCCTGCAGGACCCCTCAGGACCCCTCAGGACCCCGCAGGACCCCTCAGGACCCCAAAGGACTCCATCTGGGGTCTCGCGTGGGAGCCCAAAGGGCGCCGCTACAGGTGGCTCTCTTGAAGGATCATCCTGATGAGAAAGTTCCGGGGGCGGAATGAGCGGCCAGGGTGAGAAGAGGAATATTCTCGTCCCCGGGAGGGTGCATGCGCCACCTTAAAACGAGTCGGCCCCGATCTCCCCTCCTGGGGAAAGAAACGAAGAGCTTCCGGCCCGGATGCCTCCGGGACCGCTTTGCGCCTTCGGATGCACGCTGCTCCGGGATCCGGAATCCATCGAGCCAACTTCACGTTTCGGATGAAAATCACATGTGCCTCGGAAGGAAAAAAAACCGTAATGGAAGAGCGAGGAGGAAGAGTCCGAAGAAAAAATCCTGACAACCTCGTTATCGCTGCATCCGGAGCTTAATTACGAAGTCTGCTTTGGATTTCTAACCGGAGCGATGAACTCAGCCGAAGAAATTCCGAGATTGATGGAACGGCAAGAATGTTGGAGGGATCCCTTTAAGTGATATGAAAATGTCATATATACATATA